TGCTGACCAATTTGTTTGATAATTCTTATTGGTATTATTACAACTCTTACTAACAAAAGTAGGATTCTTACTAAATCTTCATAAAGATACTTTCACTAAGTGTTGGTTTCTTTTCATTAGTTTCATTATTTTTCTTAACCTTTATTTGCACAACTGAAAGTTATCCGCTCTTGCAAAGTTAATGATTTATATGCGTGATATATGGAGATTTTGTTATTGTTGTTATAAATAACTGTAAAAACTTGAACTACAAAACCGGCAAAAATTATTGATTTTTCACTTCACAATAAATAAACAAATCTAACAAAAAATAAATTTTGTTTAATAGCTGAACATTCTGGTTTTATGAAATATACTTCAAAACAATTTAGATTAAATTATTTAAATTAATATATTTTTATTGGTCAAATGCAGGAGAATATAAACTCACCTTGTAATTTGCATTTCTAAAATCAATATCAGCACCAGATTAAATTGGCAAATTAGTTTACAGTTAAGATATTTCTTTCACTCCTTAACAATTTTTTGAACTAATTGAAAGTAGATTTAGAATCTATTAAGAGAGCTGACAGTTTAAACAATGAAATGGGTTATAAAACCATTTTGAGTGTGGCAAAAAATATTACTTTTTCTCAGCTATGATTAAAATTTGGTGTAATTATAAACAAAATAGGAAGATTATAAAAGAAAAACACAGGTAGACCAAAGAAGAAAAACTCAAAATAGTATGCCTTGAAAAAAATACAATAAAATCAATGAAAAACAAATGTGTGGAAACCGGAGTCGATGTTTGAGACAGAACAGTAAGAAATAAGCTGAATGAAATGAGATTTGCATTGAGAAAATTCAAACAAAAGTCAACATAAAAATATAAAAGTTACAGTAGGTTACAAAGAAGCAATCATGAAGCATGGTTAATTTGTAATTTGGATGCTTTTCATCTTCCATCAAAAATAAAATAGGTTTGATGACACTGAAATTATTTTCAGGTATTTTATATTTTTATTATATATATATAATATGTTTTTGTTGAAAAATATAGACATATTGTGTCTACTTATTTTTATATTGATCCTTTCAAGTTGTCTAATTAGTTACTTGATATTCAGATGAAATCCATCAAGGAAGGCACTGTAGATTTTTTTTTTTTTTAATGAAGTACTTCAACCTTTTCTAAAGTTTTTTCAGGGGTAAATTCTAAAGACAAACATGCTATTGTAACAGATAAACTGAAAGACACATTTGAACATGTAATTTACCCCTGAAAATAATCTTAGAAAAGGTCAAAAGTACTTTGCTTAAAAAAAATGGTGCTTTTCTTGATGGATTTCATCTCAATATCAAGAAAGTAATTAAGCAGCTTGTAAGAATCAATATAACATTAAGTCTACAATATGTCTATATTATTTAACAAAACGTTTAAATGAAAATATACTGCCTAAATATACATATAAATATATATAGGTCAATGTCATTAAGCTGCTCATGCGCAATGGACCTCAAAATTTTTTGTCATGTTCATATTAGAATCATAATCATCAGTGGATCCCAATTTGAACAAATTCAAACTTAATTGTGACACTGTTTAAAGTCTGATTTTTTTTCTGTATAATCTTTTATTTTAATAAATTCATTAAATTGAGTTTTAATACATTCAGTATATCCATAATTTCACAGGCATTTACTATCATTTAACCTTTGGCATTTCACACTCATGTAGTGGTTTGGATTTTCACTTAATAGACATTTTGAGTGTGAAATATGAAGTTTACAACCTTTATCCTAACCTAACAATTTCTCATATTTACTCAATGGGATTTGCTTTAATATCAATCGTGTGCTTTGCATAGAAACCTCTGCTTGTACATAGATGTTACTATGTTGTATTGTTATATTATTTTTATTAATACATTACAATACAGTATATTGTGATTTTTTAATTCAAAATCTCAAGAAAACTATAAAAAAATTGTTTTTTTCTTGTTAAAATGTTAAAATCTTGTGCGTATAAGATCTTAGCAATCCTGACGTTGTGGTTTACTTTGGATCTAAACTGTGGATAGAAGTTTTGGACCCCAACTACTGCGGTTTATCAGTGCCAACCTGTGTGTGTGTGTGTGTGTATATATATATATATATATATATATATATATATATATACGCAGCAATTGTCAGTTCAATTAAGAAATGTTTTATCCTCATAATTTTGGTGACCTATCATTCTAAGATTTTCACTTGTTATTTTTAATAACTAAGAATCAACTAATTGGGGATTTTACTTATATTGAAAATTACAGTTGAATCATTAAAGTTCAAAACATTTTGAGTGTAATTTTAAAGTTTTAACTTAAAATATTTTGCAAAATGTTAATTAATATTTCTGATTCAAAAACATTATATATTTTTAATGTAAGCTCATGTGTGAAATCCATTTATTTTTCTTTCTTTTCTATGTCAAAATAATAGGATATAATCTTTTCGAATTATTTGTTTTTTTTTTGTACATGCTTCAATTCATGGAAGTAATGATCCTATTCAGCTTGGCATGTTAGAACACATTGGTGTTTATTACTTAATTCTATTTAGTTAATTTGTCCTTGTAATATTGCTGGTTTCTTCCACTGAACCAGAGTCTATAACTTTTCATTTTGCAACTCCATAACCGAGGGATTGAGCTCTCAGCTGATAGGAAACTCAATTTGCTTAACCAACAATTTAACCACTAAACCATAGGACAATTCAGTTCTTAAAAATTGGAACCTTAAACCTAATATCACTTGTCTGTTTCTTCAACTGTACTAGAATTAGTTGGTGGAATTTTGAGTTATATTTTTTAATTAAGTTAGAAAGCTTATTGTGCATAAAACTGATAAAATTTAATCTACTTCGACTATTTTGAATAAACTGGTGTATAGTATTTTTATTTTAAAACTGCATAGAAGAAATGGGATAAATTTTTGAATGTACTGATATTTTCAACAATATTTTTTTTTCTTCTTGAAATTGAATTTCCATTTCTCCCTTTTAGTTATAAAGTCTAAACCTAAATGTTGATGTAACCTGTTTTATCAACTTTCATTCACTAATAATACAAGGATGTGCTGGAAAGCTATTGCCCTAACCAAAATATTGCTTTCACTTATGGAAAGTGATAATCAATGATGAAGCTGATGATCCTGGAACTTTTGGTGGTGTTCCAATGAAGTATATGAATATGACTGCACTAAAGAAAATAAGCACAATGCTGACTCATTTATGATATAGGGTTGCACGTCAGATAGGAGACATGGACCAGAGAAGAAGGCAACCATTATCTCAATAGTTAATGCAGAAGTATACAATGTAGCTTTTCTTTTTAATCATTTCACCCCAAGCAAGGAGATAATACCACTAAGACACAAGAGGTTACTGGGACTGGAAGAGAATGAGAAGACTTTAGTGAGGAGAACAGACAATAGAAAAACAGGATCCAGGAAGATTGTGATTGACATTGCATTTAAATATTTGAAGATTGTAGGTGGCAGGGAAATAAGAAACCAAAAGAGTTCCAGGGGTGAAAATTGCAAGAAAAGAAACTATTAGAATATATAGATATATAGCAAGAACACCAGAAATATTCAATGCATGGGCAAATGGTAGATTTATAAATATTCAAGATAGATTCTGAAGAGAAAAATTGTCTGGCATGACACAGTGAGCCAACTTGCCTGGCAGAAGACCTAAAAATTCAATATAATCACTCCACTTCATGTATATAAAATGTAAAACCAAGAAGATGCGATGATTTGCTATCTTTGAGGTTAGCATCAGCCATGCTGATGGAAGGCAAAAATTGTTCTCTGATGATTAAAAGATAGCAGTCTTGTTTTGGAGACATTAAAATTTAGTAGCCATTTCTTGCCACACTTAATAACTGGAGGTCAATTTTGGGAGCAGCTTCCAATTTTTGTTGTAAAGCTTGAAAAATTTGAATACTTTTTTCATTCCATCAATAGAAAATAGGTTTGGTGATGATGAAGTGAATTTTTCAGGATGATTATGCATTTTGCCACAGAGCAAAGAGTTAGTTTTTCATCAGGAAACTTAATGACATAGCCAGTAAACAGACTGGATCTGAATCTGATTTAAAATTTATGGCGGAAATTAGAAAGAACAATCCATGACAAGGTTCTAACCTGCAAAGTTGATCTGTCAACCAGGATTTGAGAAAATTGAAACCAACTTGAAGAATATTGTTTTTCATTCATGAAGTCAAAAACATAACATCATAAAAGTCTGTGAAAGAACAACAAAGTATTAATTGTAATTTTTGTTGATTAATAATTTTTTCCTATTAATTTAAATAATTGCATTAAAATCTGTTTATGCTATATTTTATAATGCTATAAAGCCAGAATCTTCAGTTGTGAAACAAAAAATTTATGTGATTTGTTTATTTACTTTAAAAGGTTTTTTTAAATGGGATGAATATTCTCTAAGTATGATTGCATATTTTGTCAGGGGTTGTATATCAGAAGCTTTTTAAAATATTGCAATTGATCTTTAATCATCAAGTTCTGACATGATAGTAAACACAGAACTTTTGAAATGTTGTGTATACTGTTTAAAGTAACTTTATCGTGGAAAAATGTAGCTTCTAAAAATTGATAAAAGAACATTAATTTGAAGAATATTCTCAAAAAAGCTGTCACCATGTTAGATTTTAATTTACAAATTTTTAGAATTGTCCTTTTTAATTCTATTAAATATTTTCTTTTCAAATAATTTAACAGCCTGAGCTTGATACTTAGATGGAAAAATTTAATTTGAAGTGTAACATTAGTTTCTTTTCCTTACAAATCATCTATAAATAATTTGATCTTATTAGAAAGGGCTGCTTTTAAAAGGAATGTATCTTGTGAGTAGAAGTTGTCAAGAATTTCTTCCTATTTCTTACAAAGGGTTGAACATATGATACAAGTTTCAAATTTATATTTACTTTTGAAGTGTCACTTTTACAGACACATTTGATCTGTGTAATTCCGGAATACTTCAACTTGGAAATCACCAAGCCCGTAAGCGTGAATCTGGTGGTTAGCTGCTCTGGTAAGCTTGGTGATCCACGGCCATTCACATACCAGCCTTGTAAGTATCAGTGTGTTATGTGCATATCTGGTGCTTCCCCATACCAGCCTCTTAGCCTCCCTCACACTGTGGGGTTAGTCAAGGCCCTTTGTTTCTATAGAGTATAATTAATAATCATATTTTTCTTCAGATCAAAGTAAATATTTGTGGTTCACTAATGTTTTTTTTTATTTTGACAATAAGAACATGAATATTTTTATCTTTTGGACTATTTTTTTTTTCTTTTTTTTTGCATTTTTTACTAAAATTTTTCATGAAAATCCAAATTCTTCTGAAATTTTTTATATTGACATTTTTGATTACATTTTGAATATATCCAATTCTATTTGGTGTAGATCATTGTACAGCCATGTTTAATGTCACTGAAATGTGATAGTGGCACATACTGCTATTAGATATCTTCACTAAATTTTGCATTCAAAATGTTTTTCACCCATATGAAAACAGTTTTCTTATTTAGGAAAATAATTTCACAACCACAGTATTAGGGTTGGTATATGTTGACTGCTGCTAAAATTTAAAGTAACAGTATTTTGGGGTGGTTCCTTTTAGAACAAAAATGATTGTGTGTGTGTATATATATATATATATATATATATATATATATATATATATATATGACTCTCTTACAGAAAAAAAAAATAAAGATCCTTCTTGGTAAAAAGCAGCAGTCAACAAGGCTGGTTTACACCCAATATTTGTGTTAGACTTGGCTCAAGTAAACCTGTCTTGAGAAATATTAAACTTATTCTTATTTGGTGTAAGACAAATTGGGTAAGCTTCTCAGTGAGATTCAGAGTTGATGCTAAAATGTAAGAGAAGAGATAATCTTAAAAGGCAATTTTCATCATGCACTCATTCAGGAATTTGCTACATAATCATTTTGCAAGCAGTTCAATTATATCTGCAATATGTTACTGATTTGTTCATCTGTGCTGTTCTTTATTCAATGCTTGTTATTTATTTTTAACTATCATTTGATTGTTAAAAATGTTTAAAAACTGACACATTTCAACAAAAGTGCTTTTTTTGTTTAGTAGAAACTATGAAGTATGGACTTTTTAATGAAAATTGGTGAAAAAGTTGAGACTGGAAAGAAATATTGGTTACATTAATAATTGAGACAAAATGTAACCAAATGTTATAAAAACCCAGAATAAATTAGAGTATGAAATAATCTATTTATTTGAACAAACCAGTTTGTTTTAGCTATTGCCAGTATTATGGCTTCTATATTAATACTAATTCTGATTACACTTTCCTTAAATTTTCAATTCAAGATAAAATATCACTCTGACTTTTGCTGAAATTCACTTAACATTACATTTGATTTACAGTATTGCATATGATACATGTATATAACTTATGATAAGTTGGTTATTTTGCACAAAACTGTTTTATCAGTTTTAGAATATACTAATTAGGAAATAAATATATGCGTTTCTATTTTTATTGATATATGGCTAGTTTTAATGTAATTTGTAATGGTTGATAATGTTTATAAGGAATATTGTTACATTTCTGATATTATGTTTTGTGCAAAGTTAATCTTCATTTATTAGTTGGGAAAGAAAGTGATATCTCAATGGCAGACACTAACTTTAATAATTAGTTAATCTGAGAATTATTTCTATTTTCTTCATACTAGCAATTTTTTTCTAATCTTAGATATTTTCTTACAAGTTAAGATTATTGGTGTACTAAAATGATTCCATTTTGTGTGGTGGGAGAAATTATCCATGCTTGTTTAAATCATTATTTATAAATGCTGTCAAGATATATTTGACATTTCTAAAGTATAACTCTTAAAAATAAATTTTATAACTACAGTGAATTTTTACTATTAAGATACTTTTACTATTTCTAATTTTAGATTAAGATTTCTTGAAAATAAGTAAAATGTTTAAAGTAATTTTTTTTGCTAATATTCAAAATTCATCTTTTGTGTTGATTATTATACAGAATTTAAAAAAAAAAAATCAAAGTTATTTGATTCTTTTGAAATTGTCACATTTTTATATATATATATATATATATATATCCATTCATAGTGGCTTATTATTCCTGCTGTAAGCATAACATTTGGATTCATTTATTTTTCTCATCTAGAAAAAATATTACAAGACAGATCTATTTGCTGTCCTTGTATTTTATGCCATCTAACATGGCATAAAATGTCTGTATTATCTCAGATCTATTATTGTGTTATATTGTATTTGTATAAAGGTATTGTTTTATATAAATTCAATTTAGTTGAACATTTTTTATTGCTCAGATCACTGAATGATTTTTAATTATAAGCAATGAAAGTTTGTCTGTCATCATTAAGTCTATCTTAGATTTATTTCATAAAATTTGTAAATGTATGGGTTATAAAAAGATTGTGAATAGGAATTTAAAGAATAAGAATTTTATTTTCCTATTTTTCATTTTCATTTTAAAAATTTCCCCTGCTTATTAATGTTCTGTTCATAAAGAGTTTGATTGGATTGATAATTTGCAAGGCAAACCTTATGCCTTCATAATTTTTATATCATCCCTCACACAAGTTTTAGTGAGGATATAGTAAATAATATTTGAGAAATTCTGAATACTATAAAACCAAAAGCAAAGTTAGAATTTTCAGAATGCATATTTAAGTCTGAATAAATAAATTAATAATAATTAATTTTTCCAAATTTGTTGACAATACCTTAACTGTGTTAAAACACTGAAAATGGAAATTTTGAAAACCTTCATGTTCATATAGGCAAATAGGTAAAGAAAAGTTGGCCCTTCTTTTTTCAGACTGGTATTTGTAAACTGGTAAATTCCAATGAGCTGTTTATTGCCTATTAAAAGTATCAACTGAGCAAATCATTTATCCATTTCTAGCTCTTTATATTATTGATTGACTTAAAGATAACTGCTCCAAGTCAAAGTATGTTGGTGCATATTTTGTGTTCTTTTTTTTTTTTAGGAAGAGGTGGGGATTTTTATTTTTCAGTTTAAACAGGTGTTTGCTTGGGCCAATGTTTTATTTATTTACTTTGTTCATTTAAGTTTTTCCTTAATTTGTTTAAATAAAAAAAATATGAATAAAAAATTTTGTTACTTGAACCATGTCTGACAAACCATTAGATTTCAGCATGTTAAATGCCTTGCCATCCCCACTTTCTTCATCTGCCATTCTTAGTTATGCAATAAATAAAAAAAAATGAAGTCTATCAAAGCATTATGAAGTAAAACATGTTCCCCACCTACAAGCAGTTGTTTTTTCTGTCTTTACTATTGAGCCAAGTTTCATTTTAGATAATGTCACATTTGTTTTGCATTTTACATTTTAGAATTTACATTTAATATGAACATTTTTTAAAGCAAGATTTAGTTGTACTATAATTGCTGGTTTTATATGCTATTCAGTGTTGTAAAATATCCCTATTTGAAATGTAATTTAAACATTTAAATAAATACTTAATGCTTAGTAATAGTTTTAAATAGAGTAAATATGAACTGTGAGCCTCTGTGTGTATATATATATATATATATATATATATATATATTCTTGAAAGTATATCTTGTTTAATTTTTCTGTTGTAGTAAAATTAATATTTTTTTTAAAGGTTTATGAAGTTTTTTGTTTACTATTGAATGGTTGTGAAGGAAGAAAAATATGATATTTTAACTTCTACTACATATGATGTGCATGTTTATTTACTGATTATTTTTGTTTATCTAATTTAATACCTGTGTAGATACTCACCTTTTTCAGTTGTAATATGAAATTTCTCAAAATTTTTGATGGAAAATTTTTTCAGTTGTCTGTTTTTTTTCCATGCATCACATAACTTAATTGCTGTTATTATATTTCAAAAACCTTCTTACAGTGTAAGTAGATGTTTCCCCTTCTATAATAACTTCTATTCACAAAAATGTGTGCACATAGATGAATAGTTTGTTGAGTTGATTAATATTCCAAATGTGCCTTATCAGTTTTTCAAGAAGATTTATATGCTTGAAATTTGTAAATTCCTAGCACCACATTGATAACTGGTTCTTACCCTCTTCTGTTTTTCTCCTCGTACAACTCTTATGCACACATTAGTTTTTATATCAATTTTAAAAGTAAAAGTAAATATTATTTTTAAAATTATTATTATTATTGGCATTGTGCTGTCATATTTGCTTTCTTTGGCTCATTAAGTTTTTTTTGTACCCCACCTTAAAGTTCTTTGTAACATAAATATCACTTAGTTGTTTTCTATGTCATAATGCACCCTTCATAATATTTTGATGACTTCAAATTTTAAGTACCATGTTTCAAGAGAACGGATTTGTAAATGATACAAAAAATTTTTGACAGAATTATTTTCATTTATAAAATATTTATACATGCCAACTAAACTAATTTCTAGATTGAAAGTTTATCTAATTTTAATGTGATACTCTTTAGGAAATTATTGAGTAATCTTTATCTCAGAGCATAACATTTTTGCAGATGAAAAATACTTCTAATGATAGCAATGATATGTAAATTTCTTATAAAACATTCTCATTGAATATCTTTAAATAATAAACAGTTGTTAATGTGAAAATATGTTAACAAGATATGATAATCTTTACAAATATCAAGAACAGTTCAGATTCTTCAATGCTTTCATTTGTTAGCTAAAAGATTATGTAACTTTTTTTTTTTAATAATCCAGTAAATTTATTGTAACAAAGCAAGTTCAGTTACCATTGATGACAATTCCAGAAACTATAAACAATTTTATATAATAATTTTATAATGTAACTAATTATTAATTGTAATATTACAACAGAATGCATGATTGTTAACAGAAATCATATGAATTATATATTGGAGACATCAAAATCAAGCAGGTGTGGAAATTTAATTATGTGGGTAGTGTAGTAAAAGATGATTTGGATTTGATTCACACTTCTAAGTTGCATAGGAAACGATTTATTATGGCTTTTCCAGAAAATGCCATGAATAGAGCCTGTGAGAAATGAAAGTTAAGGAGAATACAAGCTACAAAGAAATTACTCCTCACAAACATAAAGAGACATTAAAAACTTTGGTGTTGCATAATGTGGGAAGTACATTTAGAGAACATTCACAGAGCATATTGAAATGGGGAAACAGTAATCTACTTAACAAATCTGAGTAAATTGATGACCCAACAAGGACCACAAGGTGGGATGGTAAAGGAGCAAAAGTTAGGGCAAGAAAAGACAAATTTGTAGAGAGTCATAATTGCAGATATTGAACATGGCACATAAATGAAGAATAACATTTCAAAAGTTTTTTTGGCTGTTGTTTTAAATCTATCCCTAAAGTTGATAAACCAATTTCTGTAGTTTTTGAACTTGAGATGTTACAATTTAATTTTTTTTTTTTTTAAAAGGGCAAAAAATGTTAAATTTAATTTGTATTTTTGATATTGATATTTATTCATAAATTAAGAAATGCTTCTCAGTGTATTGATAAGGTAATTAAAAATTTACTTTCCAACTACAGTATACACCCTTTTTAAATGTTTTTTTGTTAGGTGTTTCATAATTATAGCAAAAACATTATCTTAAAAGTTACTTTTGTTGAATTCTAAATTTTATAGCTTAGGTTAATAACAACTTGATTTCTTGTTATGCTCTGAGAGTTCAAATTTAAAAAAATGAAAAAGTATAAATTTTGTTAGAATGGCAGATGGAAAGTAGATGGTAAAAACTGACGTGCTCTTGCTCGGAAAAAAACTTCCATGTGAACAAATTACCATAAACTTCATTGCCCTGAGAAGCTTCAGGCAGGACATGGGATTCCGATTCTAACTGGAGGTACTGTAAGAAAAACATTTTTTGTTCTTCAACCTCAAAAGCATGGAATTGTACAGAAAGCAGGTTTTTGATACTCTACATAACCAATAGTTTTTCCTCCCTTTTGTCTTATTTTTCCTCAACTCACAAGGTAATAAATGTTCCAATTTATTGGTGGGTCTGATGAGAGAAACAAAAAATCCTGCTTCTCTGTATTTCTCTATGCTCCTTCCTATATACAAACTGTTTTTCTTGTTTATGATATGAAACTGTGGGGATGGGGCTTGCTAATTGTTTGTAATCTTCCATGTAGCCTACAACCTGCAAAGGAGAGTGCTCCCTGGGTGTCCTTGATTCCTAATCCTAGTGGACTGACAAAGTACATGTTGAAAGCTGCCGCTGGGCAGAACAGCCTGACAGGTTGTGAACCATTCTACCAACTACAAAATATAGAATTGATCAGTTTTAAATTTATCTTGAAAATATTTGAATTTTCCACAACTTGTACTATAGAAAATATTGAGAATAACTGAATATTTTTGTTTTATGAACGTGCTTGTCATGTTTTATGAAATATAAAATATATATAATAATATGTAATGAAACAGATTATATATAACTGCAATTATCAAATTAGTAAATTATAATAGATGAGCTGTTACTTTGATCATTAAAACAATGTTTAAAAGTAATTCTAGTGTTTATATAATTTAAACCATAAAAGTTCAATTTTAGCCAATTGGACATTCTAAGGATGTTTATTCTGAATTATTAAAGTCAAAATTTTTTTCAGGTATTTCTTGTAAAAAGAAATTTCAAATTTATACTTATATTATAATTCATTTGCATTATAATCTTTTTAAAAACAGGGTGGTTTTACACTATTTTTTATTTTATTTTTATTTGTTCCTATAATGGTAAGAAAATAACTAAAATTAGCATAGCCATTTTATTATCAGTATGTATTAACCTTTTAAAAGCAGAAGCATCCAAATGTGCCAACCAGTTTTACATGTTTAGAGTTCAGGGCTACCTGAATGCACCTGCAATTGGGTGGCACTGTATTTTAATGTACAGTGTTAACATCCATCACATGATCAACTAAAGGAGCCACAAATCTACAATTTTGTAAAAATTGTAGTTTTCCAAAATCAAATATCATAGCTCATTCAACAGAAGTTTTTTTAATGTTATGAATAAAATGAGGTATTTGCATTAGGTTTCATATTGTTTAAATATGTAGGTATATCAAGTCTAGCCTAATGCAACAAATATTTTTAACTTCCTTCTTTGTCAATACATACTTTGTGATGAATATTAATCATATACCTCAAACATTATACAGTGAAAGATTTAAATAAAATTCAGCTAATAAGTAGGTGTTAGGCCCCAAACTTAGTGATCTACCTTCATCATAACTTTTAACTCAAACAGAAGAGGGGTGTATTCAACAAAAAATCGAAAATTGCTTTTTTCACTGCAAATTATTCATTATATCATATCCAAGTATTTTGCAAAAAATATAGAACTGTTTATACAATATTTCAAGCTCAATTTAGGTTTATAGTTCAGAACCATGCAATGAGATGAGGTAACATAAACCATAGATTTGTCTGCAGAATATCATTACATTATTGTTACATGGTTATAGTGAAATTGTTAAGGTTTTTTTGTCAAAAGCATTCAATTTAAAATATTCCTTTATTTTTGAAATGGGATAAGCTCATTCTAAATTTCAGAATTTTGCTATTGCCCATCATTTTGATGGGTAATAGCAAAATTCTGAAATTTAGAAGACTGGATGAAAGTGATCTAAAAACAACAATGGAAAAGAGAGATAACAAAGCATAAATGAAATAGCTCCAGTTTATTCAACTTAGCATTGCAGCCAAAGTATTCTAAAATGCTGCCAATAACAAAGGAGAAAATGAAAAATACCTAATAACAGATCAAAATTTATAGTATTTTTGTAGATTTGTTATGTAAGTAAATACATAATTGTAACTTGATTTTTCCTGTAATAAATATTTTAAAAAATATTATTATTGTTATTATTTTACTTAAGTGTAAGGTAGTCCTAAATTTACAATTCCTTATGGCTAACCATGAAAAGAAATGTTGATAAAACTTTCTAAAAGTTTTAAGCACGTATTGCCACAAAATTATGAAATATTGAATACACTCCTTCTCTACCAAATGCGTCATATAAACTCTGTCATTTTTTTCTTAACTGCCATTCTGCTTTTTATCATTCTGTAACATCAGTTTCAGTATTTGCACTTTGGCTTATTTTTATGAACTTTAAGGGAAGTCTTATAATCAGCAAATACCACAAGTGTCTAATATTTGGTTAATTATAAAAAAAAAATTGTCTTTCACTTGAACTGATACAAGTTAGTGGATAGTATTATTTTTTAGGTAACAACTTTTTTATTGATGTCTTTTGCTTAATTTTTTTTTTTTAATTTTGCATAAAAACATTTTCAATAAGTCATAATGAAAACATGAATTTTCCTTTAATAAGTTACAAAGAAATCTTTCCTTTGATATTATAAACTTTAAAGACTGTAAAATATGAAATGCAGTCTAATGACAATTAGAAATCAGTTTCTAAACAAATAACTTTTTTGTTATATGTGAGGCTTGAATGATTAGTTGCTAACAAGTGAAGGTGTGTAAATTCATAAATGTTCCAAATAGTGATAAAAGGTAATTTACTTTTGAAAGTATGTGATAGCCAATGAATATTATGAAAAATTGCTTTGTCATCTCTTCATAGATATTTAATTGGATTTTGTAGAATTTGCATGTTGTTGCAGTAACATATTACCCAGAATCATTGTAATAATCATGTGACTTTCTGTATGTTTATTTGCTTTTCAGTGTAACTGAAGTTACAGTCAAAAGCAAACAGATACCATATATACTTGTGTATCATGCAAATTTTGAAGACCTGGCTATGCTGTTGACTGAACTATATATCCATATCAAATTAGCTTCAAAATTAGGTCCTCAAAGGTTGCATGATACATGAGTATCAATGGTATATAAATTTAACAAATGAATTCTGCACTAATTTGAATTTCACTGTTGGAAATAAGCTGGCAAGTGAGATATCCACTACCCCAGCATTCTGTTCCTTGAACAGTATGTTAAAATGGAACATTGTTTTTCTTTTAAAATTTTTGTTTACAACTAACTTTTATATTTCTTGCTGGATTTTGTTTAAAAATGTATAGTTTACTCTTTATTTAATTATTTTCATATGAAGTTGTTTCATGAGTATTCTCACTGTCAAAGTATTGGTATGAAACTTGCCTGGTATCATAAATGGAAAAAGTTAAGATATATCAAAGGCACAAAAAGCTGTAATTCAGGCATTGTGGGATGCTGGCAATACTCAGAAGAAAATTGCTATCAAAGTGGGATGCTGTCTGTTTATTGTCTCAAAGATAAAAAGTTGAACTTGTTCAACTACGGTTCTCAAATCAACAGCTAAAGATGAATGTTAGTAGAATGATCCCTATTTCCAACAAATTTTCCAACTATGTGAAATTTTCAAAATCTGGAATGATGCTGGTATAGTTGTTTCTTCATCCACAACACCCCAGAGACACCATCATTTCAGATATGATACCAAGATAGAGATTTTGAAGCAGTTACTAACTTTTAAGCAGAAACAGAATCAAAATTGTTCTGTTGATCAGTGGAAGCAAGTTATTTTCAGTGATGAATCAAAATTGTGAATTTCTTTTTGTAATCATGTCCTTGCATTTGGAGAAAGTTAACATAAGAGATAGGCTGCTAAATGCATGAAAAGAATGTAATGCTCTCTGAATCTTTGAGCATGACTTTGATCCATCCCACACAGTGAAATGTACAAAAGAATGGTTTAGGTAAAACAGGATAACTGTACTTGATTGGCTTGCAAATAGACCAGATGCAAATCCAGTAGAAAATTTATTGGGAATCGTTAAGAGAAGATTAAAAACAATACTATTAGGTATCCCAACACTCAGCTTACAGCCGATGAAATTCTTAACTAAACACTAAAAAAGGCATATATTCAACTCGCCGTGTTATTTCATTCAATATCTCCATAAAAACAATGCATACCAAATAAAAGCTTATTTCATGAACTTTGTTTCTATCTTATTTATTTTTATATGTACTACAGTGTGTAAGGAACATTACAGTTTGAAAATAGACATTTTGGTGATTTTGCAAAATTTTAGCCTTTCTTTTTTTTTTTTTTTTTTTTTTTTTTGACGGCAGTTTAGACTTCCTCAAATTTTATAACATGCGCACTCCGTAGGGTTTATTACAATTTTGTTAACACATTAGTTTGAAAATTAACATTCTAAGCTTCATTTTCATATATTTTATATTTTTTAATTTTAATAAGAAGTTTGTAAACAATTCAAATGAATAGTTTGATTGTAAAATTCAAATGCTTCTTGTAAAAATAAAAACACATAAAATATATCATTAAAATGCTCATTTAATAATCTATGAAACTAAATCAAATATGAAACAATAGCTCCATCTTGTGCGTGTGCAATTATGTGTAACCATGTTTGATTTGCTCGGCCATCATTTCAACTCCACGCGAGACTCAATACACAGCGTCAACACACACAAAAGAATCGACCCGCATGTTTTCTATGGATGAAGTTTTCAAGGAAATTGATAAGAATTTGTTTTAAATATTAATTTTCTATGATATGTAAAATGTAAATGGGATTTAAAAACCGTTTTCATCAAAAAATATGAAACAAAAATGGATTTGTTTACTTTACGCTCAGATTCAAATCACAAAAAAAACCGTAGGACTTATCGAAAAATGTTCGTATTCAAAGAATGAAATAAAAAAACGTTCTACAAAAAAATTCTAGAATGTCTTTTATGTTTTTGCAGTATTCTCACAATAATTATCAGCATTTAAGTTACCAAGTAACATTTTGTTTCAAACAATTTTCTTACTTTTTAAATTATCTAATGAATGGATTTTAGTTACGATTTATTGCTATCTAGATACAAGTTTATGATTTAATATTTATTTTCCTAATTTATTATTATTTCTTAGTAATATTTATTTCATATGGATTATCATTGTTTATTTTTTTTTTAAATATTTTAATATATCAGTTTTAAGGACCATTGTGGAAATAGGTTTGTTGAGAAAATATTTTAGTGCTTCCTTATTTGTAACTTAGGTGTATGGATGACTCTAAATTTATATTTATCTCTGATTGTATTTAGTGCAATTTTTTATGCACTGCAAATAAACTCAAATTCAGTCAGAAAATTTGGTATTTCTAGTGTAAGAAGTAGTCATTTTATGACACAATTCGAGCAAGTCTAAAATCAGCCTTTCAAATACCTTGTGACAAAAGGTAAAAAGCAATTATTTTCAATTTTGAAGTGGAATAATCCAGAATATATCCATTCTATCAATCCCCCAAAAATTAGGCATGTTACTGGTATAGTCATAATGTGATATTTGAAATTTTGGATGAACATGGGTCTTATTTCCAGTTTTATGAAATGTCAAACCTCAGGTTATGAGTTGTTTGCACGTTGTTGCAGAAGTTTTGATTTATAAAATGTGCATATTCAGAGTGAATTTATTTAAGAAATATGCAGTGATACTATCTGTAATTTTATTATTAATTTCTTTGTTATGTACCTAACAAGCTAGTATAATTTTAACTATTGTTCTTAATTGCTTTTTAAAATATACAAGTCCAAATATGGTATTTTGTCCTAATTCATAATAGACAAAAAAATGGCTAAGTCGAGCACACGTGTAAAAATAAAAATAAATCTGCCAAAATTAAACGGTTTGAGATATTTTGATGAAATAAAAAATGCAAAGTTTCTTTAATCATGTAGATTAAGAAGATGCAATCAGATAACATCTAGTACCTGTTCAAAATTTTCATCTATGATATCTAATACTATCAATCAAATCTTGGAAGAATTGCTAAATTGTGAGCATCAGTAACACCATAGGATTGCCATAGGTTAATTGGTTTGTTAGTACAATGAAAGAAATAGTAAATACAAAAAGTGCTACTACAAAGTATTAAACTACTAATACAGTTCTTCATAATCGTATTCATTAATAAATACTTTGTTTTGATAAAAAACAGCTTTTTTTGTCTTCTGTTACTAGCTATAATAATTTACAAATTTTGAAAATTTCACATTTCAAAGAGAACCTGATTTGTGGATTAAATATTACTATATTATTTTTGTATATCAAATTAATATACCTTTAAGAGTAAACTGTCCAATTTTAAAGAAATTTGAGCAAGAAATATGCAAGTTATTCCCAAAACAGAATATTCCATTTTTCTGAATCGTCGTAATTTAGGCAGTGATTGTAAGCAAAAGGCTGAGAAATGTACCTTTTGCACAATGGATTATTTGATGCTGACCATAGTAAAGCAAATCCATTTTCGTTTCAATAAATGTAACATAATATTGATGCTTTAGATTTCAAATATGTCATATATTTAGAATTGGAGAGGTAATTGAATAATTTTACTTTTCATTTATAAATTTATTTTTTACTTTATATCAAAAAGTTGTTTCCATGCTATCCATTTTTGATAAGATTACATTTTATTTATTCTGTAATATTTAATTGAAAACAGTTAAAGATTTTGTGAGATATTAATATTTATCACATCTAAAAGTATTTTATCAAAATTATTTTCTGACAAACAATTTATTACTATTGAAAAGATGATTTTTTCAAGAAACTACCTGAAGAATTTATTTGATATAAACATATATAAGTATTTGTTAGAATATTTAAAAAATAAATTAGAATACTGAAAATGTTTTACAAAAACAAATTTTTCCATATCAGTTGATATTATTTATTTAGATAGAATAATTTCAGTTATTTGATTATTTTGGAATAAATAATTGTGTAAAATTCTCTCAAAAACTTATGAAATATAAATCTTTGTTTAAAAAATTTTAGAAAATAATTTTTACATTTTTTGGGATTATTTTGTATAGAAGAGTTAAAAATCTGTATCGTTTTGTTTTTAATACCTTCTTTCTACTATAATGGAAAAGTAATATTACATGTAAAAATTGCATTCAAATTTAAAAAAGAATAATTACAGCTGATATACTATGAAAGTATTGGGTTGGTCAAAAAGTTTGTTCAGTTTATTAAGAAAATTTTCTACTTAATAACCGAACAAGCTTTTTGATCAACCCAATAATATGCAGAAATACCATCCTCCCTGTTATACATGTAATACTTGCTGAAATTATATGACGAAATAGTATATTTCTGAAAATATTATTTTTAATCATAGATTAAGTATTTTTTACTAATAAATTAGTAACAATTAGACTATAAAAAGATCTTTTCAAATATTTTCTTTCAAGTATTAGCCATAAAAACTGACTTTTTTTGAAAGGATTAAAAAAAAAAATGAAACTATTAAACTGTTTTATCATTTACAAACAGAAAATCGCAGTTAAAAATATGGAGTTTTAAGAGTTTTCTCCATATTAAAAAATGTTGCATACTATAAACTCTTGCAAATAAGTGTTTAAAATTAAGTAATAACTGATCATGGGTATCCCATTGTGTCATAAATTTGGTACTGAAAAACAACTGCTATCCATCTTTTACACTACCTTGTTATTAGTTCTTCAAAAGAACTTAACATTTAAAAGCAAATATAAATTACTATTTCAATTATCAAATATATTTGTATTGCATTGTAAATAGTATAATTTAAATAAATATACTGTGAATATTATCCTATCTGGGTTAACTCAATCTACAAGAGAATAAAAAAAAAAATTAAAATGAAAATGCTGATTATTGTTTGCAAAATGTTTTTTGCATTTTCCATCTATGAGGAAGTACTGAAAAGTTCTCAGTCCAACCAAGAATCTGTTTGGTCAGATTTTGAGAAGAGAGTCAGGGCAAGAACTTTTAGCACTCTCCCACATTGTAAGTATAGTTGTACAACTAAATTTTCATATGATTAGCCTTTATTTAAAAAAAAAAAAAAAGAAACAAAAATATCCCAAATAAAAATATTCTCAGGAACATAGATGTTTTAAAATGTTATAAAATTTAATCCAAGTAATTATCTCTTGTTTCCTATAAAATTATATTGATTTTAATGCTATAATCTTAAAATTGAGCAGAAAATAAATAAATTTTTCTCATATCAGTGCTTTTTATTATTTGACATTTTTGCCTCTATAGAGTGTCCAAATAATTATTATGCTTACAAACGATCATCATATGGATTTCAGCTATTTATTGTTTTAAGATTTGTAAGCAGTTTTAAAACCTTAGTCATGGATATTTATAATAAGCATGTTTTAAATAAGCCAAATAGTTTAGTAACTTTATTTTCAATCTGTAAATGTTAGATTTAATATATTAAACTGTGAAATTTATAAAAGGGGTTAAAAAAAGTTAAACATGTTTTTTTTTCTTTTATTTATGGCAAATGTAATGTCAGTTTCACTTTTTTCAAATATAATTAGAAAATATAATAGTTAAATAGATACTGATTTTTTTACACAATTCTTTTTATGTTAGTATGCACATATACACAGAAAAATACTTACATTATTTTAACTTATGGTTAACTTTCACATTTTGTTTGGAAAGAGGATTTTTGGAAACATTTTATTGTCAAAGAGCAGTGAGAAATTTTTTTCCTATTCTCTTAAAATGTTTAAATATATTTTTCTTTAAACTATTAAGTTGGAGAAGGTTTGTCCTTTCAGTTCTGATGAGAATAGTATGTATAGAAAACATTATTGTATTTACAAACCAAAATCAAAAGAAAAAAAATTCTAATAGTATGTGTCAATCTTCACATAAATTATTTTATGACATATACCTTGAGATCTTAAATTTTGTATATTTGATAATGAAATTTTTTTTATAAAATTAAATTTTAGTTTCAATAAATTTTAATGGCAATATTTAATAATTTTTGGTCTCCATTTGATATGTGCATACAAATTTTTTTGACTTATATGGACATAATGGGATACCATTTATTTTTTTTTTTAAATTATAGTAAATTTGCTGTTCTGTTTCCATTCTATATTTCATATATATATATATATATATATATATATATAAAAACATTTATTCTACTTTTTATTTATTTTGTCAAGATTTTTCAGCAGTTATGAAGCATTGTAGATCAAACTGTATTTGGTTCTACAATGAAGTTGGATGCAGGTTTCTGGATTTGTCAATCAAAGTAAACTTTATGAAACAAAACTTTAAAGGCAGACACATTGTCTCTTGGTTTTTAATTTTACCTTAATAATTGGATATAATAACACAAATAGTATGTAGTATTTTGAACTACTTGATATGTACTTTTGGTGAATTTCTATCCTGAAAATTATTTTTAATAACTTTTTAATAAATTAATTCATAAAGAAAACTGTTTCAATTAGGTTATTTTAGAAAAGAATTAGGTTTTAAGTTCATAATTGAAAAATCTTATCTGATTAACTTTTGCAATCAATGTTGTAATTGTTTATGGAGTATATATTTTTTTTCTTTTCTCCTGAAGTATATATACATTTAAAATAAATGAAAATGTATGTTCTTTCAATTATCAATTCCAGTTTCACCTGTTGGAAAATACACCAAGTTACAATGTTTTATAATTGAAACTCATGGCTTTAAACTCTTTTGGCTACCACATTCATCATAATTGGTTAAACTTAAAAAAATATATTTTTTTTTGTCACTTGGTTGTTTTCTAAATTGTACTTTGTTCTGGCTAATGACTTTTCTTGACAAAAAAATCTAAAGAAGTAGAAAGTGCTGTATCCATTTTTATATTGATATTGGTTTTGTGAGGGTTTTTTATTGCAGAAAATCCCCAGCAAAACAATTTCGCCTTTGTTTTCTATTCTTTTGTATGATTTGTAGTATTTGATCTTAGACACTTTAAACTATTTGTCATTTCTAAATTTTCAGTGAAGCCACTTCCCAAAGTTGAAACACCCATGGAGATTGAACCACCTCAGCCACAACCATTGTCATTTGGACAATGTCCAAGTGAGTATAACTTACACTTTCTTCTTATAAGGGATATAAGCTCTATAAGAATGCTTTGAACTTGAACAACATGCTTAAAACAAGTTTTTATTTGTGCACATGTTGCTTCAGTTACTGCAGAAACATTGATTTACTTGTTAAAATATTTATAGTTTAAAATGTTTAAGTACATATATTCAAAAGTTATTGGTCACACTTGAGCAATGCATTGATTATAAACATTTTGATTAGAATTAGTAACCACATCATAAAAACTGTATATGTTCATGTACCCATAATCTTACTCTTTTTACTAACGGTTATCAGTGACTAATACTAACAAGTAGAATTTTTGATTGTGAACATAAGTTTGCTCTCTCTCTTTTTCTCCCTCTCTCTCTCTCTTTCTCTTTCATTGATCAAACAAATCAGTGATTCAGATTTAATAATTTAGCAAGTTGCAAAAAACTTAAAAGTTTACTGCACATCATCAATCTTTGGAGAAGGTTTAGCATCAATCAAAAGCCATTATTTATAGGTTGCTTTTTCAATCATTTCTGTTAGTGAATCTTTTCAATCTAATTATGTTGGATCCATGTCATTATAAAGTATTAATTTTTAGTTTGGAATAATTTTCTATTCAAAATTCAATGTTTTTGCCAGCTTATTCCTTGAATGTTATTTGTAAAAGATTTCTTGGTAAAATCATAGCAAATATCTAAAGTTATGTAAATCCTTTTGTTTCTCTGTTCAGTTATTTTCAAATTCTTTCTTTTTTCAGGTACACTTGAACTTTTACGGCTGTTGCAACAAAATCCACAAGGTGGTTTCCAAGTACCTTCAGAGGCACTTCCACCTACTTTCTCTTCAGCTAGTACAGTTCCACAAGCTGCTGGTTCTTTCTCTGACCGAGAAACAGCTAGTGAAACAAAGTGTGCATTTTCTCCATCGTTCCATGAGCAGTCACATCAGTCGGATTCCCAGTTTGCCTCACAACTGGAATCTTCATCCAATTTCCACTCTCAAACTCCTGTGCAGAACTCCCCAGTCCAGTCACCACCGCAGCTGCATTCATCAACACAGTTCCAGTCATCATCTATTTCTCAGCCTCCTGCAGATCAAGGATTTCAACAGACAACACAGCTCCAGTCTTCAACTGATGATTACCTGTCTACAACCCAGATTAATCCTTCCAATCAAATGCATTCTTCTGCAATGGAAATGCATACAAGTGATGATTATGAAACTGCAACAACACAGCAGCAACAACAATCACCTTCATCTCAACAATTAAATTCCTCATTGACTGACTTTCATTCTATGAGTGAAATGTCAGACAGTAACTCTATAAAATCCTCCCCCATGCTGACTAACAATTCATCACAATTCCAAACACAGAACTTCAGCTTTAATGAACCTGCTACTTTGCTTCAGACTCAACAGCAACAGCAGCTTCATGTTTCGTCACGAATGAATATATCAAATACTCACATTAATTTTGAAGCATCTCAACAACAATCTAATTCCCAAATGCATCTTTCCGGCTCTGGTTTGCATCTTACTGACTCTAACCAATTTCAGACTCCCTTGAAAATGCCTCTGACAAATTCAGTTTCTAAATTAACAGCACACCAAACTCAACAGAATCCATTGCAATCACTTCAGTGCCAGTCTGAAAATCAAGCATTAAGACGGACTCAGTTCCAGGTTGAGTCACAGACGCAACCTTCTGCGCAGGTGCAGTCATCTCAGTTTTCACAGTTGATGTCATGTAAGCAAATTTATTATTTTAATAAGTTTAACATAAGCATATGTTACACCCATGTACCCCAGGAATCTAATTACTGTACTGTGGAACTACTTGTTATAATATCAAGTTTTGATTTATTTGGTAATGTTAGTATAGTATCAGATTGTATTAAGTTGATTTTAACTTTTAAGACATTAGTTCTTTTTCATAATTAGCCATATCATAGAGTAAATGTAAAATGAATCTTATCAAATCTCCATAAAGAGATAAAATTTTCTTTATTGTATTTACTGTCAATTATGTTGGTGTAGTTTCTGATTTTTCTTCCTTTTTTATTTCACCAGCATTACCAAGTGCATCAGCTCCACAAATCATTATTGTTGGCAACCCACGGCCTGTTTCTGGACGTAATAATGTTTTCAGTTTAGGAGGAAACTCTCAACAGCCAGCCCCAAGTATTTTTATTATCCCCTCATTATCTACTATCAATGAGAATTCTGTATCACAAGACAATGATGGTAAGTGAGGAGGTTTTAAAAATTTTCTGATGTGGATGAGATTTTTAATGTTTTTGCTTTTATTTTCACTTGAAACAGGAATATAAATTTAGTCAAGAAAAAAAAATCTTTCTTCAGAAACCAATAAAATTCTAAAGTTGTAGTCATGTATTTATTATAGGAGTATCAAACAAAAGCAGAAAAACAGAGTGAGAGAAAGTTTATTAACCCATTAATGCCCATCATCCTATTTTTGTGATGATGGGTATTAATGTTTATAAATAGAAATCTATAATTAATATTGAATTTTTTTTAGAGACCTATATCAGATTTTATGGTGGGAATTAATGAGTTAAAAGTGTAACAATCAAATCCAATTACTCTCACAGCCTACAGTTGATTCTGTAGTCAATTCCATTGCTGTATTTTAGTCTGATTTTTCAGCATTGTTTGGGAAATATAAAGATAATTTTCAGATTGATTTTGCTAAGTTTGAGGATGTCTGAAAAGTCTAACTGTTTAATTTGAAATTAGATAATAGAACAAGTCAGAAATTATATATGCAAGTTGAAACAATAATTTTGAGAAAACTATTAGGATTTTGAGCTCTCTATTTGATTGGTTATCTCTATTCAGCAAACCATTGTTCTGGGGAATTAATTCTTCAGGTAAACACACCAACTGGCCCTGTGTTTATTAAGTCTAATGTTATGGTATGGCCAGAGGGCATGAATGCCCAAATATTACTTTTTTTTAATGAGTTTTTCTGAGTTCAAATCCTATGGTTTCCAAATGTTAGCATCATTCACTGACTAAAATCAATTTTTTAAATTGATTTTAATACCTTATCATTTCTTAAGACACATTTAATAAATCTATCTTTCTTAAAAATCCTAGACCACTACAGGTATTCTTGACAGTTCATACTGTTAAACCTCTTTGGTCACCTAACTTTTGTTTCCATCTTTGACAGTGCAAATACAATGTACAAGAAGTTGCAAAAACAGAATTAGGAGATGTAATGAAAGCTGCAACAACTAGATGACCTCTATTTAATGGACAAACCTCTTGATTCTTTTTGCTATAAAATATAAGCCCAGTATCATATACTTGTGACTATTTCTAAAGAAATGATTTTTACTGCTATATGAAAATGAACTCTATTGTGCCATGAATTAAAGCCAGTATTTTGTTTCAGACAGTTTGTCCCTTTATATGGCATTGGGTCAGTTCAATAAAAAAAAAAATGGAAAAATGTAACCCCCAAAAATTTTGATATGTGTTGTAGATCTAATAGACATTAGAAAATCCTGAAAATTTTAAGTGAAAATTCCTAACAGTTCTCAAGATATCAGCATTTTCCGTCGATGGACATTTCCATTTTCAAACTCAACAATCTCACAAAAACCCATATACCTTCTAACTGATCCACTTATCTACTTCTGGTTACTTCCTGTAAAATTCTAAATGGATATTTGGATTCCTTGACTAAAAATCTATAAGGGTATCAAATTTCATTAATTTCTGGCCATTGGATCAGAAGATATAAGGGTTTTTGTGAGACCATGGAGTTTGAAAATGGAAATTTCCATTGACAGAAAATGCTGATTCAGCAAAATTTCAACTTGCAATAACTTGGGAACGGTTAGGAATTTTTACTTAAAATTTTCAGGATTTTCTAATGATATACAACATATATCATGAAAAAAAATTATTTTTGGGGGTTACATTGGTTGAATTGACATGGAATTACCAGTTGTTGATTGAGAAATTTGTCTACAAGAAATGTGTATCATTTGGTAAATTACCTGACATGAATTGTACCAATCATCGTAATTGTTAAAAAAAATCTAATGGAAATGTTTGTCACTCTATAGCTTTTTCAATTATCTTCAGCAACAGGTTGGAAATTCATTAGTATGCACTGCTTTTACTTGAAGATCTGCTCACTAAACTAAATTTGGGATACTTTATTAAAGGAGACCTACGTAGAAAAATGTGGGATGCTTTTGTTAAATGAGATCTACCTTGGAAAAATAACGTTGTGGAAGATTCAGTCAACATTCACAAATGTTTGTTTCAGTACATTTGTCTATTCCCATTTATTGTAAAAAAATACTTTTATATTTTTTAACAAACAATGCTAATGAAACTTCTTGGCATTGCAGCATACTGGGATATTATAATTGTAAATAAAGCATGATCTAAATGACCTGACAGAGAGATTCAGCAGGATACTACCATGTATCACAATTACAGCTTTTGTCAGCATACTCAGAAATACAACTTCCAGATTCAACATGCAAAATACCCGGAATTTGTGATTGACAAAAATGAATGTTGATCAGATTCTTCTGCCAACATTGAAGTGATTCAGAAAACACCTACTTCTACTTAGCTCTTATTTGAGGTTTAGTAAGAATTACAATTTAAGGGTGCACTGTTGCTTCATGGTTAGATGCTCAGAATGAGAAATTGGTAAACAAAATTTGAATTCTGGTTTATTTTTATTTTACGCAGATATCATTGATAACCATTCTGGAAGTAAAAACTCTGAATTCAAAACAGTATGTGACCTTAATGAAGTACATACTACACAACCAATGAAAAGATTGTGGAGTTCACAATGGCACTATGATTTCAACTGCAGTTGATGGGAATTACAAGGAATTTTTGCCTGTCCTTCCTATTGTGAAGAGCATTCTTAGTGGAAATAGTCAACTAACATTTCAACAAGTGAAGTCTGTGCTCTTGAAAGTTCATAGCACATAAAACCAAGATCACAAGATATTCTACCTATTGACTGTGGACATATAGATTTAGCCTCAATTCATGTCGGCCTATAATGTAGACTTATAAGTTCATAGCTAAAGCTGAAAACATTTTCATTACTGCTATCACTGAACCAGAAGTTAAATGTGTATTCACAGATTATTATTTGTGTGCTGTTACAATAGAGATCATTAAAGAAGTGATTTTAAGAGACTTAACTCTGCACCAAATGACAATTTATCTGAACTAAGTGACCAGAAGATTTAAACAAACAACTTCAGTATTTTAGTTGCTCCAAGTCTCTTTAAATCAAGAATTGCCTTACATTTGTTGTTATACAATGAAAACATTGAATAAGAGAACTTGTTCAATTGTGTTTTCTTATTACTGGTTGCTATCTACTTATAATTATCAATTATTACCAAGATAATTTACACAAAATTGTGTGTACATAAATGCATGTAATAGTTTTTTTAGTAGAAAGTAGAGCCAAGTAAATCATGCAAAAGTGTTATATATTTGCGAGTTATTTCCTAAATCTCATGCAAAGATTGCTAGATGGACATGATAAAATGTTTTATATTGTAGAAAAGTCTGAGAAAAATAACAAGATAGATATTTTTAAGGTCAAGGAAGATTACCTCTAAAAAAAAATGTAAAAATTGCATGTTTTTGTGTTATCACCAATTCATTCTACAATTGTCTTTAGATGTATTAGACATAAAGAAAGAAATGGCAGACAAAAAATACCAACCCGTTTAGTTTGTTTGGGCAATCTAAAATGCACAGAAGATACCATTTACTGCTACCCCTCTAACATGGATGTTCCCCAGCTGCCTCTCTGCAAAGAAAATCAGCCTGCTTTAAAATCTATACTGGCCTGGTTTTCATAACTTAGCTGATAAGTCAATGTATGCTACTTCTTTCAATTTACTTGTAGCCCATTGGTATTCCCTGTCACTTATCTGAACCGCATATCAAAGAAATGTTTACTCTCCTCTCATAACCAAATTTTTCTACTTTCCCTTTGGATATGGCTTTTATTATTATTATTTTTTTATTTTTTTTTACAGTAAGGTTCACACTGTACAACTTGAGGTAGAGGGTTATGTTAAGGAGTAATTTTTATGGATAGGCGAGGAAGATAATGGTTGACTCTAGACTTAAACAGGTTAAGATTGTAGGGATCATGGAAACATCCTCTTGAAAATCTATTCCATAGGACAATGGTTCATGGGAAGAAGCTGTTTAAATAGAACTTACTTCTTGCTAATGGAATATAGAGGGAATGAGAGTGGTTTGTTACTATGGCATGATGGATCCTAGCCATGAAGGTCAGATCTGGTGGAACCAGGAGATGCAGTTTGTCTAAACACTTTCCATGCAACTTTTTGACAGGAATGTTTTCTAGAAGTAAATTGTAGTGACATGTGGCACTTAGATTCTTGAACTATATTCTTGTCTATTTCTACTTGTCTCTGCATTTGCAGTAACAGTGAGATGGAAATGGACTTTGAATGGACCTCTTCTCCTTGTCTGGTCCCCCTGTTGTCATCTTTTCTTCTTTACAGCTATGTCCATCGTGTTCATATAAGGAAATTTGCTCAGCCCTGATATTGATTTTTGCATATTTTTTTAAAAGATATTCATATCAACTTTCTGTTCAGTAACACATGCTCCTTATTAGAATGCATTCAGGCCATCACTGAGCCTGAATTTTGGTGCCAAAATAAACATTTTAGAGAGGTACTTTGTATAAACAATCAAGACTTCATTGGAATTTGAGAAATTTCAAAAGACCATAAATCTTTGTCATATTGTTCCTGAGGCAACTAAGAGGGATTGGGAAACATCTAGTTTTACTAAATCTTAATGAATTGTACTTGGCTTATTTCAGGTTCAGATGTTCCTGGAGCCTTCTTTGAAGTCATTATATAGTTTCTAGTTATTATTTTTAATCTATTCTTTCTTTTCTTAACACTTAATTAGTTTCTCCCTGAGATTTTTTATTTGTTGTTTAATCCTAATTATTTCCTGCTCCACATTTTCATTAGGCATTCTTCTGCAATAAAATGTTAACCAGGGCTACCACCCTGTTATCATCAGGTCAGTATTGATTTATTTGCTCAGCATAGTACACCCACCTCTTAAAGTAGAATCTTCTACTGCTGGAATAAACACAACTGATTTTGGTACAGCTACTACTTTATTATTTTATTTGCTAATTTTTTCTGTAAAAAAAATCTTTATTAATGAGAGTGACTAATTGTATATTAGATTTAAAAAGTGTGGTGAAGAAATAAAATTATTTCATATCACTAAAATAATTTTAAAATTATATATTTTGTACAAATAACTAGTATTTACTCAGATACTATTTGTTTCTGTGTCTTATATATAATTATTATACTATTATGGTATGATCGGTATCAGTTACATATATTTTTGAAAAGACTATGCTCAGTTTCATTTCTGTTCATGCTTTTTTTAAGTGAGGGCACATTAGCTTATTTCACTTTTTTGTTTTGTTTTCACTGTCTTGGATATAATGAATATCTTTTCATTTTCAGTACTCTCTCTCCTGGATTCTCTTTTGAGAGGTAACAACTGCAACAACAACAACATGAACCATAATAATAATAATAATAATAATAATAATAATAATAATGACCATGATGATAACCAACAGCAACAACCATAATTGCAAGAATATTTTCTTCACATGTGCGACACCTTGATGTATTTTTACCTGACCAAATATCCCATCTCTTTATAGAATTAGCATCTTTTTTTTTATCAAGTAGATGCTATTGACAGATGAATCAGTCATGGGATGTTTACAGGCTCAGGCTTATGTCTGCCAGAAGAGGTGCTCTTCATGAGTAAGGAATACTGGCAGTAAGAAAGTTTTGTTTTACTGTAAAACATAATTAGCAGAAGCAACACAACACTTGGCTGTGAGGAACTAATAACAAAACACAAGGAAAAAAAAGAAAAGAAAAACACAAAAGATTGAAAGATAATGGTGCTGAAGTTTTTCTTTCACCATTGCCAGAGATTTTGTCTGCTTTTTTCTACTTTTTTTTTCTTTCATTATTCTTTCTTTTGTTATTTTTTCTTTTGTTATTTTTTTTCTTCTGTTACATTTTCCAATATTTTTTCTTCCATTATTTTCATTTTTTTCCTTCCATTCCTTTCTGTCCTTCTGTTCCTTCTTCCACGATTTATTTTTCTTTTTCCTGATAATCAATTTTTTTATTTACATTTTTGTGGATAATTAGCTGACTCTATATTTTCTCATCCAGAAACTTTTAGTTAGATGTTACTCCTTATAATCTCATTATTTTTAAACTATTCAAATTGGCTTTTAAAAAAGAATAATAATAAAAAAAAACATGCTTTTGATGATCATTCTCAAATTCATACTCAGTTGGAATTTTTTTCACACTCTCATTACATGCACAAAATAAAATAGCATGGAACATTCTAAATGTCTACTATAGTGCTTCATTTGTCATATATATATATATATATATATATATATACATACATACATACATACTTGTTTCTCAGTGATATGTATAGATATGTAAAGGAATGCTAAATAGTTTGATATTTAAATATGTTACCTTGCACATTAAAAATTGAATCATTGCAAGATGACCCCTATATATATATATATATATATATATGATTTTATGACAATGTTATGTCACTGTGATGTAAAATATCATGGGAAATACATAGTGAGGTGTATGTCCTGTATGAAACTAGTGCCCTTCCTCTAGCTTGGCATGAGGTAGTGTGAATAGATCAGTGTAGAATTATGCTTATCAGATTTTAGCATGTTTTGTTAGATTTACCTCCCCTTGAAAATATTCAGCAACATGCCTTAAACTGAAAAGTCAATTTTTTTCTATATAATATATCTATTATATAGTTTGCTCTGAAAATGCCATCACTGTTTAAAATGAAAAACAAAAATCCACTTGCTCTCAAGATGTGTTTACTGTTCATGAGATAGAGGGAAAAATGTGATATAGATTTTTTTTTTTTTTTAATGCCATGATAATCTTAATCGTCCAGAATCATCCTAAGTACTTTTGGAGATGAATATTAAAAAAAGGAACTATTTCAAAATATTTTAATCTTTTTATGGTACATTTCATTCATTTGATTTTTATATGTACTTTTACATGCATTTCCCCTATTTTCTCTAATGTGTGACTTTAATTACAAGTTACCAAAAATAACTTTGTCATTAATCAAGATTTTAAAAATCCAGAAGGTTGAAATTGTTTTTTGGTAGTATTGTCATACCAAACCATGGATTTAAATAGTGATATGGAATAGTCATTACCATCAATTCTTGCTGATTTGACAGACCTATTACTGTGGCCATGTGTAGACTATTTTTTCTTCCTATTGCTCTATCTTGTACCATTTTATAACTGCTCAAGTGCCTATTGGTTTTTCTATTCTTGATAATTTGAAATCAAGAATTATACACAGAATTAATGTAATAAATGCATGAATATTCTACACAGAATAATATATAAATAAATTATTTACTTAGCTGTTAATTTCTTAAAGGTAGCATTTCAAGTCAGTTTTTGTAGATTCTTTATGAATTTCATGGGAATTATATATTAGCAGTATGATACTAATTTTTGAAAAACATTGCTTATTAACTACAGAGCTGGTATAATGACTTTGAATGAGTTCTCATGCACTCTATAATTGATTTTTTTTTAATCATTTCAAATAATAACTGCTACAGTACAGCTTTGAAGATATTGTGTTTGCATATTATTTTTAAATACAAGAAAATAAATTTATATCTTTTTTGTTTTTTTAATTAACATTCATTTTAGATTACTATAAGTTTACAATTTTGGTTGGAATGATTTCTGAAACTGTGCGATAGTAAATCCATTTAATATTTAAGTAGAAGTCAATATCAGAATTCTAGTTCTTATAAGTAAGACACTTTGCATTAATTTTGAAGACTAAGTTCCAAATTTGAAAATGTGTAAACAGGATTGAAACTTTTACAGTTCCTCAAAGGACCAAATTTTCATTTATTTTAGTTAAAGCAAAGGTGGATATTTGTTAACATAATTGGTGTGCAGGATTTTAATTTTGAGAAGTTCTGAAATGTTTTGTTATTCTGCTGGTTGTTCTATTTTGGCATTTTTAATATATTTTATGATCATTACATTTTATCTTGCCCTTCTTACTCCCTCTGAAAAATGACTTGCATTTACTTTTTTCTTAGTTTTCTGAGTTTTGGGTAAAGTTGAAATGGAAATAATCATCAACTTATAAAATAATGTAGAAAGTTTAGTATTATAACTTTGACTCTGAATGTTTACTTCTATGCTACATTTAGATAGTTAAAACAAGATTTAGTAAAATGTGTCAAGTACTTTGACAGGTATGAGCTGATTTTTGAGAAATTGTTACTGCATGTTTCTCAGTCTATGGTTGCAGCATTTCCTCAGGCACCTTTTGTTTTTAATTCTTTTTATTTTATTTATTAATATCCATCTTCTATTTATCTTGAAACACTAGCATTTAGATCTTTAGTGTCATTTCAGTTCATGCACTTCTAAAATTTAATTATTTCTTTTAATAAATGATTTTAAAAGTTTAAGTATATTGTGTAATTGTTTCTTAAATGCATTTTGCACTTTCACAAACATTGAGATAATAGATGAATGCTCTGTTTCATTTGAATAAAAATATTGCTTTAACTGTTTGACTTCATACTGGGTTTGCAAACTGGGTTACATTGCTTACTTACTGTTGCTGGTGTTGGCTTTGTAAAATCCAGATTAGCTTTTATTGTAATTGGCACTATTTATACATGATAGACCTTAGGTCTGGCAAAATCAAATTTTGAGTTAATTAAAATACAAGTTGAGCAAAATCTAATCAGCTTTTCTCTATGTAAAATTAAGATTCTAATTTTCCTTGCATTACTTCATTCAAATACTATAACCATCATTCTGATTTCCAGAATAGTTACAGAATGTCATTTTAATCGGTCTGTTTTGAATAAATGCTCCCTATTCTTTCATAAACAATGGCTATTAGAGTTGATACAAATGTTCTTCATTGTTAAATAACATATTTTCTTAGAAAAATAAGTTTAAAAAGGTAGAACTTCAATATCTACAGTAACCTAATAATACTTTTTATATATGAAATAGAAATAGCCACCATAACTTTTTTTCAACTGTTAGTACTTTTAAATGTTTTATTCTCAGTTGTACATGACTGAAATTCTTGGAAATAGTTGTTATATAAATTCTGGTTAAGGTTGAGCCATTTATGAAATTTATGAACTTAAGCCTGTGATAGTAATGTTTTTTTAAAATTCTTTGACTAATCTGTTTTGTGTGTAGATATATATTGTACTTGAAAAAATGCAATAAATCAATTTTTAATTTTTTTTTCTTCACTCTCTGTATTTTCCTTACATTTTATTTTCCTTTTAGTGTATACTATAAACCAAATCTTTAGAAAAGAAGTTGCTATTTGCAAGTTATATATATTTCTTTTTACACAAGATATGACAAAATCAAGGAAGAAATACAGTTATTTTTATATTATGTTGTAGTTTTTATCATAAATTATATATTACTCCCTGTGTCCATTGAGGGATCTGTCCTTGATAGATTTATATGAAATTTAATTTGGTAACTGTTTCAAAACATACTGAGAACTTATTAATGTCATATACTTGTCAAAGATATAAGTATAGTTAACTTCAGTTAATGACATGTTGAAATAGATTAGTTATAAATAAAAGGCATAATTATAATGCATTTTGATTTATATCAAGTTGAATAATTTTGCCATATTGTAACTAGATTAGAATTTTAATACAATTTATTTAAATACATTACTGAAAGTACTGTCTTTTAATTGACTACAGACATTGATTCTGTAAGTTTGGGTATTGTTCATCTATGTATAGGCCAAAGAACAAATATAGTGTTATAAGAGAGAGAAAAAATCAAGAGTATTTATATTTTTGTTCATTTTAAAGTAATGCTTTCATTATTCTATAGTGTGTTATAAATTTTATTTGGCACAATTACACTTGACAAAATTCTGCAAATATTTCATTTAAAAATTTGTTAGTAGTAATATTAAAAATGGAATTTTACTTGATTTGAATGTGTTAAACTTTCATATTAATCTATTTTCTTGATAATTTATCCAACTAAAAATGTACAAGAATAATTTATATTTTAAAAATTAAATCAATGTCAGAATTGCACCAATAAATGAAATGGACAGTTACAGAAATAATTTATCACTTCAAGTTTTCTGCTCTTGTCTTTAACAGCTGTTAGCAATAGATATTGTAAAAAATCATGTAAAGAAATTACAATGCAAACATCTCATTTTACTGCATTATGCAGATATTGCACTTTTCAACAAATTTATACTTTATAACAACCCTACATTGAGCAAATTCTGCCAACCACTTTTTCTCACTTCACGTCTTGCATATTTTGGTAGCAATAAGTATTTTTTTTTTTCAAATTGGCATACATTTTTATTTCCTTTTATTTTTAAAACCCAATTGCACACTTCATAGTTTACAATATTGTATAATTATAGCCTTTATACATGCTGGGAAACCAAAAAGAATTGTGACATGTTTTATTATGGTGATACTACTGAACCACTAGTAACTCAGATATTCCTAGATATGAATTTTATATGAAATAACTGTTAATCTGGCTAATACATAATTGTTTAAGTTTGAAGTAATCATGCATGGCATTCTTTTTCTTGTATGTATGTTTGCTGTATATTCTAAATGAAGTGGGATGACTTTAGTGTGTGATTTAACAATTCAATGCAACCCATTGTTTTGTCTCATATCACAAGCACTTATTGCAATTAAAAGCTGAAAATTGCTTTTTTTTATCTCCATTTTTTTATGTTTGAGTTGTGCAGTTCTATTTGTTAGTCTCGCACCAATACCACAAATCAATATTCCAACATAAAATATACTTTCAGAAAGCATTTGAATGTTTCTAACAATAACTATGTAGTAGATTTAAAATGTTGTTTCTTTGTCTGGTTATATTCAGATTTTTTGTGATGAGTAACTCAAATGTAGAATAATTGGACAGTATCATATTGGACTGGAAAGATTTATTTCTCTTCATCTAGATATTTATTTTCTTTTGTTGATTACCATTGATAATATTGTGCCT